AGAAGCTTTCAAAGACTCGAAAATAATCGTGATCTGCAGGTTTACGAATCTTGATGACTCATTTGCACAAGTCTATCTGGTTCCATGGCTAACCATTTAGATAGAGTTCATGAATGTGTTCCGCGAATATCGGCTCTACGTAGAAGATGCCGAGCTGCAGGTGCTGTCGCTGCGTATGTCGATAGATCCTACGCGCTCAACATCTTCCTTCCTAAAACAAGGTGAATATTCTCAATGTCCTACAAACGAAAACCAGTGATTCAAAGCTAAATATTGCTCATTGTTTCCAGATTTGGCCTCAGTGAAATCCAATGGAAGCTCACTGGAGATCGAATCGAGAAGCTACTGTCAGAACTGGATCAAGCCTATGTATCGGTATGCAGAGGTTGTGTGTTTTTCATGTGCATGAGTAGGTCTATTGAGTTCCGAGCTTGTGAGCCGGTAAAAAACAGCGCTGGAGATAATTACATCACCACCAGAATGCGCCATGCACCCAACATCTTACAGTGCACAGTGTGGCTAAGGCACTTGCAATGCAACTTGGACTATGCAATTATTTTCCTCGAATGTACGACTTGACTTTATCTGATCGCATAGACTTCGCAAGTGTAGTCACTCCAGTCATAGTTTTTGATTTGTTCTGTTTCGTTAGTAGCTGTTTTTCGCCAGAGTTCGTACTAAGCCAAATAAGTTTGCTGGTTTACAGGCAGAACTGCTCGCCCGAGGTGGGACGACTAACTTTTCCTTTTCGTAACAATCTCTTTGTCAGCCATCACCAGGGTACCGTTAACCTGAAAGCCGCATTGGTGGTGTAGTCGGTAGCACGAACTCTTTTTCTCGTCAGCGTTAGTACCGTCCGCCGTCTTTGTAAGTGCCGCGACTTTAGTCTGTCCAGGGCATCTTCTGCTATAGGTATAACTTCACTTAGGTCCTTAATCACGTCTCTCTATCTTCTTTGGGGCTCCTACCGTTTGCATACCTTGCGCTTCGAAGTCCATTGCCTTCTTCATCGGGTTATTTTTTGGCCTCCGTAGCATCGCAGGAGCTGCTCTCGTATCTTCTATTGGACAGGGTAGTCTGCATGACCGCTCTGACATCCTCGTTTCTGACCCTGTCCAGTCGCGTCCAGCCGCAGGCCCATCTCAGCATCCTCATCTCAGCGGAGTGAAGCTGCCTTTCGTGATTCTTGTTCAGGGGCCAGCACTCGCTGCCGTATAGCATCGCAGGCCTCACCACTGCCCGATACACCTTCCTTTGAGCTTCCGGAGCAGGGTCAAGCGTGCGTTGAGGAATCCTCGACATGTCACAGAGGGGGGGGGTCGTATTGGCCCGCTGGGGAGAGATCGGGCCCGATTGATACAGTAGGATCATCGTCGGAGGACAAACATCAAGGATCGAATCGATACCAGGCCAGAGTATTTCCAATAACAATTGATTCCGTCCACACAAAATCTTCGTGATTTAGAGGTGTCCGCTTAGCAATTCTTAGTTACTTCAGTGTTTTATCACCACACAAGTTAAAGAATCCGAAATTCGCACGTTTTCCAGGGATATTTTATCTTTCAAGTAGGTCCTCAAATCCAACGAGATGTGAAGCACACGGCGCATCCCAGAGTGGGCCCAGTTGGTTGCGCGCGCTTCAGCTACGGCTATCTTGATAACGAATCTTAATTCAGGAAGAATCAAGAGGGTTCTGAAAGAGTTCATGTTAAATTACAGAGAGGAGTACACTATTCAACAAGAAACGCAGCCTTCAGCGTCAAATTCACAAGCATGTAACCTTTAAAGTTGAGACCCGCTAAACAATTTTACACTTTTTGCAGAGAGAAAAGCACGAGGATTTTGAATCTGCTCCTACTTCAGTATGTAATCGCTCCTGCAAGGAGCTATAGTCGTTGGGATAGTGCTAATGTAGCGAAAAAGTACCTTTCGGCGGTACTCGGGCAAAAATCCTCAACGTGGCCATTTTTTAAATAGTGAACGTATTTAGCAGTTTTAGTTGCCTCTAGAAAGAGCAAATCTTCTAGTTTATGATGACGTATTAACTTTCCAGATTGCATGAGTTTGAACGGAGTTATGGCTTTGGAAAGCGTAAAAACTCGCACTCATCACGAATTTTCCTCGTTAATTTTGCAAAAATCCTCAACGTGGCCATTTTTTGAGTACTGGACGTATGAAGCTGCTTTAGCGACCGTTTGATAGAGAAATCTTCTAGTTTTGTATGACGTATCAACTTTTTGAATTTGACGGAAATGAAGCAAGTTATTGCTCCGGAAAGTGTAAAAACTCGTGCTCGTCTCGAATTTTCCTCGTTATTTGATCTAAATTTGTTATTTCTTATAACTTCCTGTAATTTCAGTACTGATTAGAAAAAGCTCTTCACAAAACTCCCAAATCAGCTTTCAGATTGAAAATTCGTTAACTTTGAAGAAAGTTATAATCATTTGAATATTTGTTCAAATTTCAATAGTAAATAAGCTGCTCCACGGTCAACGCCAAAGTCCAGTCAACACACAGCTGGCGAAGGCTTTTACAAGGCTTCCTTTCAGCGAAAGGGGGACGTGTAAATTGAGAACCATAATCTGTGTAGTACTAGAATTTGGTAAGTCTTGTGGAGGAAATAAACAAAGAAGAGGTGTTGTCATAGTACGCCATTTCTAGTGACTAGTTTGACGTTTTTTGCTCCGTTTCTCGTTTGCTCGTTTGACAGGACTCGTCATTAATGATCATTCTTTGACTTTTTCACTTTTATACTTTTTAAACGAGTTTTTTTGTGGACGATGGGGTAGCAGGGCTTTTTTATGAGCAGTTTTGGTGGAGAATTAAACAACTTTTTCATAGTTCGGCTTTTAAAGAGGGTTGTTTCATGGACTTCGGCCTTCGGCAGAGGAGGGAGGGGGGGTCGTATTTCCGAATTTTCCTCGACGCCTCGCTTGACCCTGGTCCGGAGCATCTTCCATAGCGGAGGATTCTAGTAGCTTCCCTCCATTTCAGGCATGGGTCAGGATAAGGCACTCATAGAAAGTGTTTCCATCACTAATATGAGCAGGGGTGCACTGACGGGGTGACGCACCTCCGGAAGTGGTGCGTGGCTGGCATAACGTGTGAAATCAGCTAGGTTGATTGCCGTATCAACCGATGGAACGGCTGGCATATCCGGAAAACTCGTTTGGACGTGCCTCTCCCCAAGCAAGCCTCCACTGCTAGTGGGAAAGGGGTTTCGACGGTTTGTCGACGGTTTCTTTTCGTTTTTTCTCCACTGTCGTTCCATTTCGCATCTCTATACTCAGTTTCAATCGCCATAATACCGCCATATAGAGCATCTTTGCCTTTCCGCCCATAACCCAGAATCCTTGTGATAACCTATTGGTGCACACTGCCCGGGTAGGCGAGATATGGGTTGGGGAGCGGAAAGTTTTGTTCATGACCCAGCAATCTTGTGGAAACCCAATGTCCTCCTACTGCCAATATGAGGCATGGTGAGAACAACAACAAGCAGATGACAATGTTAAACCATTCCGGATAATTTGGTAGACATGAAACAGCGAAACGTAAAACAAACAGATTTATCAAATTGTAATTAGTTTGCATGTAGGGTGGATCTTGTGTTATAAGAGTTTCCCCTTTTTGTAACAGTCCGAAACCAAATCCTAGGTTGGGTAGCGCTCGGATAAACTAAGCCTTCTGTTCCTTTAGTCAGATAATTGGTGCGAGGCTTTCCATGAGAGTGAGTATATTGATGTGTATAACGGTTGACTTGCACATCTCATTGTACGTACAACATACGGACCAAATCGCTTCATAGCTCTAAGATTCTGAGAGGAAGTATTAGCTTGAAAGAAACTTTCTGCACCACTCACTTTCAGAATTTCTTTCTTTCAGAAAAATTTTAACGAATCGCTACAAGTTTTATAACTTCAATGCATTTCCCATCAAAATATGCTGGAACTTTTTTTTCATGCCACATCCCAAAAAGATTGGTCATGTCTAATTTTCGGGCTATTTATTCTGTATGATTGTATAGCATTTACTTGAAAGTCACACGGATAATAACGTCCTCCCTTCCTATGGAGTGTTCTACCATATATGTTTCCTTCAAGGGTTCCCATACACATATACAATATGATCTATTCTAAGAGCTCAAGTGAATCAAAGGAGTTTCGTCTCTTTTGGCAGGTCACAATTCCAAAGATGAAGATCGAGACCACATTCGAACTCAAGGAAGCTCTCAGTTCTCTGGGCATCTCAGACATATTTGGTTTCAATGCCGACCTCAGTGGAATTGCTGACCCACCTCCACCGCTCATCTCACAAGCCACTCATAAGGCAATCATTGAGGTTAGCTTCTTGTGCTGTTCTACCGACTTTTACCTGTGGCTTTTCAATCAAACACTGCACTACAGGTTGATGAGGATGGCACGACGGCGGCAGCGGCCACATTGTTCAAAGCCCAATGGAAGTCGTTAAGAGTCACTGTACCTATAGAATTCCGTGCGGACCATCCATTTTTGTTCATTCTAACCAAAGATAAAAATCCTCTGTTCATGGGTCAATTTATGTGATGAGCGTGCTTTTTTTAAACCACGAATCAATAAATATATTTCATTGAAAAGACCAACGCAACGAACAGCTTAACCAGCCGTCAGCTGATTCAAAGGAATCCACAGCGGAAAAAAACATGATTCTATTTCAGCCATAAATCACTGGCTTGAGACTCATCATCCACGATAAGAATGAAAAGAACAGAAAACTTTTGTTTTGGTAAAAAATTCGAAAAACCGAAAGGGCTGCTACGCGTTCAAAGTACCGCGGACATCTGTCACAAATGCTGGCGACGGGAATGCTTCCACTTGGTTCTTGGAGTGCCGTCACTAGAAACTTCACATGCCCCACCTCTGGCCAGGGTGAATATCGGTCGAGGAAATCCTCGACAGGGGGGTCGTACCTGTCGGGCTGGGTCATGGGGGGTCGTACTCTTGGGGTCAGTAACAGCAGTGGTATCGTGGTGCAGATAGGTAAGAGGGTATAGCGCAGCAGAAAATGAAAATATCTGAAAAAAACATGATATTAAATTTTCTTTGCAGGTTCAGTCGCTCCATTCCTCCACCTTCATGAGAAGGGCGTATTTGAAGGCAGTACAAAGAATGAAAGTGCATCCCCGCAAAGAAGACTGCCACATGTGCGCACGCGCTGCAAAGGCACCTCCTCTGCCTATCGCTCCTTCTCCCTTAATACCTCGCTGAGAATGACACTGTTGTTAGGGACCCTGTCGCAAAAACGACAACCGTGAAGGAAAAAGCCCTGGGCAAATGAAGTTGTTCTTCAGGGGCCGGGTGCAGCAAGCCCCAACTAGGGGAGGGATCCCCAACCTTGGGGACATATCCCCATCCTCGACATTCTACGAATCGTTCAAGGGTTTCGTCGCAGGACCCAGGGCTTCCGCATCTCGAAGGCTCACGGACCATTAATGTTTCGTAGCACTATGGCAGTTTCGAAATACAATGGCACGGCACACATAGGAACCGTTACTATCTCTTCACTTCGTGGCTCTTACGAAATACAGTGGCAAATGGTCTTGGAGGCTGAGCGCCTCTTTCACATCGTTAACCATTTTTCTTCAATTGCCTTTCCCTCTTTTTTTGATTCTGTGGTTTCTTCTGGCTCAGTGTGGCCCCGTGAATGGTGTCAGATTCACGGAAACGCTCAGTTTTGGGCTGACCCTTAGAGGAGAAGAGATAATCCGAAGTGTTTAAGCAGTCTTCCTTCTCAAGCTCTGCCTTCTCCCTTCTCACGTTGAACAAACTGCATCGTGATGCCCCCTAACTAGAATAGACCCCGCCAATTTTCGCCGAACTTCTAAAATTCCTTTTTTTAGCGCAACGAGCGGTGGACCCCGCGCCACGCCCTCCTCTCGCAGAGGCACATTGAGCCTTTCTTATGGATTTGTGTTTTCTATTCTTTGTTTGTGGTTTATTTTGCTGTTGTTCATGTTGTTTATTTAGGTCGGTTTTGCTTAGGGCCCACGGTCATCCCGTCATCTAAGGCTCTCGACAAGAAGTAGTCTCTTGAATTTATTGGTACCAATGCTTATAATTGGAATATTTGTTCAGGTCGCATTCCGTCTGCCGTGAATTTTTCTTTGCTTCCTTCCATTTGTGAAAGGTAAACTTTTGTGCCTCTGTTTCTTCGCTATCATTCATTTCATTGGTTTAGGTCGCTTTTGCCGTCGTCACGATTATCTCCTCATCGCAGCTTCAGCTCAAGCGGTAGGTATCTTAAGCATTCGGCACCATTGTTTTCATGCGGAGTATTTATTCAGATCGCGTTTTTTCGTCGTATCTCACTGTTGGACATTTCGGTATTTCGTGAGTTTTCGTGTTTTCACATTCACTTTTGCTCTAGTTATTAGTTTGGTTGGCATTTGGGTCTATTCCATTTAGGGGGTGCATGCAGTTTAGTGCACTTAACGTGTTCAGAATCACGCGTAGCATGTTCTTCTAGTGAAATGGTTTAGGACTAAGCTCGAGAAGGGAAAGAAAACCGTGGGCTTGTGAGCAATCTGCTTTCCGGGGGGCTTCTTCCCCTTTCCTAGTAAGTTTTTACTGCCCACCAAATCAGTATTACTTTTTATAGAGGTTTTTCTTTTAAAGCACAAGAACACATACATTATTCGAAAAATGAGAAGAAACAACGTAGGAATAAGGCTGATAGCAGTTTGTGACCTAAAAGAACTTGAGGTAGTCGGCATTAGAACAAGCTGTGCACCGCAATATCCTCGCCCTATCTGGAATAGATCCGAGCATTACTATACACTCGATATCCGATGAGTTGGGGTAGGCGTGTCACCGGAAGTGACGTGCACTTGATAGAAGCTATGTGGATAAGCTGCTTCCAACATACATCGCTGGATATCAGCAAAGCATGCTGGCAACAGCTTATCCACGCAACTTCTATCAAGTGCACGTCACTTCCGGTGACACACCTACCCCAACTTTCGGATATCGACTGTATGTTTTGGTAATTCTTTTGGTATTGTGAAATGTCATTTCTTCGGAATTTTCCTTATGTCTCATGCCTTTGGGTGTTTTTCCTTTCCGTGGGGGTTTTTCGCCTATTAGTTGATGGGGGAGGGGGTGGGAGAGCGGGAGTAAGAAGGTACCGAATGATTTCCAACGAATTTGGATTGGGTGGACTAGAAAAGTGTTCACTGCAGAGATGGAGGACATACCTCAAGAAGAGGAAGAAGACTGGATATTAAACGTGATTCACCTGCTATTGAAGAGCGTGCAGTTGCTTCGAAGAAGGTGAAAGTAGCCATGAGGCAGTGTACCCACAGGCTTATGTGAGTTGGGAATTGCATACTGTATGTGAAAGGTTGCCATTGTAAGCCTGTTTTTTCAAAGCCCCATTGTCACGTCTCCGGCGTCCTCTGCCTTCATTCCATTCTCTGAGGTGAAACTGAGATAATACTCAACAGATATGTGGACCACTACATGACAGGAGGATCCAAGGAAGGGATTTCGGTAGGCAAGGCTGCCAGGGCCAAGTCAATCAGAAGATAAGGGATGAGATAAAAATTCTAAAAAAATATGGGAATGCTTTGGTAAGTTGTATTATATAGAGGCAGCTTAGTTCCATATTTATACTATTTTTCGATTCCAGATACAAGAAAGGAATAAAACTGGGGGTGGGAGGGCGGCCGCTATCCCGCGACTGTCTGCCCAAAGAAACGCGCATTTGATGCTTTGCGCGAGAAGCCGAGGATTTCTGGTTTGAGTGAGGGCATTGAGGTGGGCCAGAGAGTTCCAGTTCGAACAAAAGTAATATTTTTTTGTAATATCTTTCGCTATCTAATGTATCTACCACTCCTTACAGCGCGCGAGGCCGGCTTCGCCATTGTCCCCTTCATCTTCGCAGGCTCCGTCTCCAGCCGCATCGTGGGAGTCAGCAGCAAGAGAAGGGACTTCCAGCACACAGGCCAAAGCTCCGAAAAGGGAAGAAATGTGGCAGGAACTCGAAAACCAGCCTATTAAGAAAGAACTCCTTTTAAAGAAAACCCGCCTCTGTGACATACAGATAGACTATTGGACGAAGCGCAGCAGGCATATCGAATAGGCTTTTTGGTCTATTCCAGTTGAGGGGGGACATCATGATGCAATTTTCCGAGAAAGGGTAACTCCGAGCCAGGGGGAGTGTAATCCAGCCTAGGGTGGAGGGTGAGGCATTCACTTGACATGGGTGAAAAGTTAAAATCTTTGAATTACACCAGTTCGCCGAGCATGATGCCCCCCTAACTGCAATACTCATCATGATGCCCCCATAACTGGATTACACCCGGCTTTTTTTCTGATTCCAATGCATGTATTGTAAATTGTCTGTGTCATTGTCTCTCTCTAGATAATTTTGGGAACCTCTCGTGCTGCTTATTTTATGTGCCATACTTATGAATAGCTCCATATCTATGAAGCAAGGTTTTTGTTTCACTTATCTCTTCAACGATCTCCTCACCTTGAAGTGCAGTCTTCTGCTGTTGAATGGCTCCGTATCTATGAAGCAGGGTTTTTATTTCACTTGTCCCTTTGAAAATTTCTTCACCTTGAAATGCAGTTTTCTGCCGTCTTTTTAATTGATAATCATAATAAGTGGTTGACGGTTATGCATCGTATAGCTTTTAACTGGGAACTTCCAAGATTCTAAATATCTGCCGGATAACTAGTAACAAATAACAAGTAAAGTAATAATAAATAGGTACTAACAACGATGCGTGTATTAGTAATCTATCATTATGATTGCTTCTAGGAGATAGAGGAGGTGAG